TGGATATATTATAACGGGTACGCCTCCCCCTAGTGCCAAGTTTTCAATCAGATCGGAAGGGGGCTGAGAGCAGCATCGCTGTAGATACCCCCCGACGCCCCACAGGACCTCAGAGCGGGCATGCTGCCGTGCTTTGATTGCTAGAGCGGGGAGGATGGTTCCTTTCCTCTCTTGTGATAAGGATACACCTCTTCTTCGCCTTGTACAACAGGAGAATCAGCAGCATTTCACACCCAGAGCACAGCGCCACTGTGAAGGGAGCCGCGGAAGCTGCGTCGGCCTGGGACTGGGGGAGGGCGAGCTGGATGATGGCCAGAGCCAAGAAGCTGTTCAGTGCCCCGCTTTCGATAGCCACAGTCTTGCACACAGCGGGAGGCAGTCTGCAGCTTTTAGCAGAGCAGTACCCGAACAGCAAACCCAGAGCAGGAACTAAGACACCCAACAGAAGCACCTCTGGGCTATCTGTTCTTAGAAACACCAATCCCATCCTGAACATCAAATAAATCCCCACAGACATTAAAATAAAACTCAGAGGTCTAATCATTCTCTCCAGGATGTTTGCTTTTTCAGGTGTTCTATGCTTGATGACTATTCCAGCTGATATAGGTACAAGTATGAAGAGGAGTGTTGACATAATTTTTGAAACAGGAACATGGAATGTACCGGAGAGCCCTAAGATCCTACTGTACAGGTAGGAATTGGCAGGCATCATTACCAGGGCCAATACCGTTGATGTGCAGGTCATCAAAATGGCCAAAGTGATGTCTCCTTCTAGAAGCAGAGCAAAGAGATAGCCCCCACCCCCTCCTGGGCACGTGCAGGTCATTACAAACCCAAAAGCCAGTGCCTCGGGCAATGCCAAAACCTGAGTCAAAAGAAATCCACAAAATGGCATCAGAAAAAACTGTGTAGCTGCCACCAAAATTATTGGCAAAGGTCTCTTCCATACTACGCGGAACACCTGCAATTCAATCTTGCAACCAAACGCGCACTTATTTAACAAGATCATTGGCAGAATCAGCAGTAGGATATTTCTATCCATGTGCATGGAGGCCTGGAAAAGACTGTCTGGCCTCTGTTTGAGCACTTTGACTCTGACATTCTTTATTTCTTCAATGAGTCTCTCTGGCCTACCTTCAGAGTCCCACAGTTGAATGGTCAAGTTGGTCTCTCCTTCTTCCTCTGCCACTAGTTTTATGATGAAGGTTGTAGCACCGGAGGTGGCCCTGGTCACGTTCACCACCTGCAGCATTTCAGGGTCTTGGAGCCGCACAGAGAGGAAGCTGGCGTTGGGCCGCTTATCTCTGTAAGTGGATCGGACGAGGACGGTTTCTTCGGTCTTTGTGAAGAACAGTATTTCAGTCCTCGCTGTACTCAGAAAACTGAGAAATGGCTTCCTTGCTTCTCCCAGCGTCACAAAAAGCAAGACAATAAAAAGTCGTCTAATCATTTTGAAAACTTAAATCAATCATATATGCGAACGCATCAAAGACAACGAGAGAACATTCCTGGGAGAGGCGTCCCAATGCCGGGCGGAGGCTGAGGCAAGAGTTGTTTTGCTGGATCAAAGTCCAGGAGGAGGGCCTGTACTTTCAAACAAAACCTGGCTACCTCGTGAGTGACACAACCTGCCCAACCTGTAGTTATGAAAATGCCCAAGCCCCGGCATTCTACAGCGTCAGCGGCTCACAGCAGAAACCTGATCTCTTCCTCATTTTCTGGTTTCTGCTAAGGAAAAAACAGCCTCCTCTTCCCTTGCATTTAAAAACTTACACCTTTTTTAGTTTTCTTTCTTCCTAAAGAAAATCTACACTAGAAACAGTCACGACCCAAAAATATAAAATAGATATTGAGGGGGCCTGCAGGTGGGTGAGCCACGTCAAAATCAAACGAGTATTTATTGGCCACGTTTGCTGGGCGCTGGGCCTGGAGCAGGCGAAGCAGAGCAATCCAGCCAGTCACCGCTCCACCCTCTCCTCCTGCGGTTCACCCCGGCAGCCCCTGAGCAAGACTTAGACAACCGCAGAGCTGAGAAACTAGCCTGCCGTATCCTGAGGCGGCTAATAGATTTCCTACAACTCTGGAGAGAGTACATCAGTTAGGCAAAATCTGAAACTGGTTTTGGAATCCTTAAGTAGAAAAACAATTTCCTGGATGGTAACCGGGGAGCTTGGGAACCTAGGGAAAGTGGCTGGCCAGATGTACGGCCAAAGGGACAGCCTGTCCCTGCTGCTGGACACCATGGGCACTGGGAGGCCCGGGCACTAACTCTGTAACACCCCTGCCTCGTCACAGCTAAGGGCATGTCATCCCACTGCCCAACCGAGGTCAGAGGCCTGTGCCTTGCCCGCCGGGAATAAGGAAAAGTATTGGGGTTTTTCTAGTGAGGACTTACACCCCACATACTCCCATAATGATGTATTCCCAAACAAGAGGGGGCTCAGGTACTAAGCAGAAAAAAGGAAAAAAAAGAACAAAAATCCACTGTGACTGTCTACTATAGGGTGTCCCCAAAAAACATACATATACTTTAACAGCTGATAACTCACTTAATTTTCACTTCTTTTCAGGTTTAACTGATTTGAAATAATGGGTAAAACCAGGCTAAGCTTTGAACAAAGAAAACTTATCCTTAAGTGCCACTAGACTTTTTTTTTATGGGGATACATAAAATACAAAGTTTAAGGTACAAAACTGGCAACAGTTGACGAATTGAGGGTGCACAAATATCGAACGAAATGATTCTTGATGTTTGCGATTCCATTGCTTCCAGTTATCAGCAGTGCCTGGACCAGAATGGTCATCAGTTTGAAAACAGACACTGACAAAAAAATTATTCATTTCTGTAGATTCTTTTAAATATTTTTGTATTGATTTTTAGAGAGAGAGGAAGTAAGAGGGATAGAGATAGAAACATCAATGACAGCCCTAGCCGGTATGGCTCTGTGGATAGAGCCTCGGCCCTAGGACTGAAGGGTCACGGGTTCAAGACCAGTCAAAGGCACAAATCTCAGTTGCAGGCCAGGTCCCCCACCCTGGCTGGGGAGCGTGTGGAGGCAACCAATTGATGTGCCTCTCTCACATTGATGTTTCTCTCTCCTTCTCCCTTCCATTCTCTCTAAAAATCAATGGAAAAATATCCTCCAGTGAGATTAACAACAAAAAGAAACATCGATGAGAGAGAAACATCATCGATCAGCTGCCTCCTGCACGCCCCCTATTGGGGATTGAGCCCGCAACCCAGGTATGTGCCCTGACCAGGAATGGAACCATGATCTCTTGGTTCCTGGGTCAACACTGAACCACTGAGTCACACTGGCCAGGCATTTCTGTAGATTCTTTTTAAATTTTGAAGATGAACTGTTTGTTAATAAACACTGCCTTTATAATCATTCAAAGTGGGTATACATTTTTTTGGACACCCTGTATTAAATCTACAGACCTGGTAGTCTCTGAATCTATTCCCACTTCAGCAGATCCTTCATGAATCAAGGCAGAACCTGTGTTCAATGCAAGGACAGTTTGGAATAAGTATTTTTGCACCATAACATTTGCTCCTCAAAAACTGTTAAAGCAATTTTACTGGACATTTTTTAAGTTTTTAAAAATTCTACTTATGTAGATTAGTCTTTCAAATGCAGTAGACTTTACACCTGAAACTAATATAATACTGAATGTCAACTGTAATTAAAAAATAAAAGTTTACACTTTTAAAAAATGCAATGGAACTTGTAGTTCATAAATTATATTTGCATGTACCACATCAAGACATTGGCTGATGCTGAAAATGGAGAACAGAACTAATGTTTCTGATAGCTCAGTTAAATTCCCAGAGAACGTTCCTAGTTTAAAAAGACAAAAATAAAACAGAAACTTCATAAAACCAAAGCCATCTGTACAGTATGTGAGCAAGTATTTTAGCTCCCAATTTTAGTTGCCCAGGTCACAGGTGTGAGGAAGGGACCTTTTGTTCTCCTGGTTGCTATCTGCACCCTTTCCCTTCACCAGGCCCTCTGGCCCTCCCCTTGCTGAAGATCTGGGGGGAATAAAACCGACACGTCCAGAAAAGCGTAATGATCTATCCGCCACACGCCTTTACTGGCTAATGACATTTCAACTGGCGCTCATTTGTACCCTTCTGTTGTTACAGCGACAGTATCGGAATTTAAAGCTGTTTGTGGGTTTCCTACTTACAATTCTAGTCGTCTACAAGAGGTGGAAAGATACTAGGGTCAGGTGGGAACAGTCAAAACCTAACATTTCATTGCGCACACTCAACGGAGAGCCCCACAACAACGCCCGAGAAAGCTGTCTCGTCAGTCATTTGAAGTGCAAAGCTCGGGCTTCTCTCGCGTACAACCTGTGTCTTTAGGGGCTCATGCTGGAGCCCCGTCCTTGGAGCCTCTGAGGAGGCTGGTACCTGTGCCTTCCAGAAGCTGGCCCGCTATCTGGAAAATGACCTCCCTCACCAGACGCAGATGCCGACTGACACCAGTCCTTCCCTCCGCGCCCTGGCTCCCCTTCCCGTCTGATCACTGACAGCTCTGCCTTCGCCTCCACGTGACTCAGTTCCTGCTGCCTTCCCTGCCCTCTGCTCAGCCCCACTGGGACTTTCTCTCCCATGTTTAGCCTCAGCTGAGTCATGAGACGTGTGCTGATCCCCTGCACGTGCGAGTAATTGTGGCACATGCTAAGGTATTCGTGTGTATGAAAACTTTCTGGTGTCTGGGAATAGATTTAAGGGTTATTTCTACTTCTGGTCATACAGTTTGTGAAAAAGAGCTGTTGGAACACAGCTATACTTACTATCCATCTGTTCATTTGGTACTTGTCACACAGCTTTGCACTGTAGTTACCACGGAAACGAGAATCAAATCCTTATCTTAGTAGGTACTCAAATAATCACACTAATAAATGAGTATATAAGCAGCTGATGAAAGTCAGAAGCTATCTCCATTCTTTGCATGAAAATTATACGACGAAAAATTAGAGATGAAATGAACATTCCGAATTCATTCCTTTAATTAAACCTAAAGCCACTCTGCAAGTCCATGACAATTAAAATAGAAAAGGGACAAAGAACAAACAGAAATAATTTCTGTTCCCTCCATACAGTAGTCCTTTGTTGAGGGTACAACGTAGTCACTCTTGGCGTGCACTTTGCTTTGGTGGGTAGAAGAGACTGCCATCGAGTTGAGCTGCGCCATCTTTCTTCTCATTTGAATCCATGCCCACAAACAAACACAGGTGGTGACGCCCAGGAAGAGAGCCTTAGTCAGAACCATGCCCCACAGCAGGTAGGTGACAGCAGCAAAAGCACTTCTCCTCCCCAGGCCTGAGGTTCCTCACTCAGAAACTCGGAAGAGTGAATGAGACAAGCCCGCAGTTCCTGATTCGCGTACACACATCAATGCATACGCCATGGTGCAGGCACACGGAGCAGCTCCACTCCCGGCACCATGGTGCTACGCCTGCATGTTACCTGCTCAAAGCAAGAGATACATGTACCCTGCAGAGCATCTTTCTTCCTCTGCACAGAACAGCAACGTCCCAAAAGGGACATCGGAACACTCAGCGTGGATCCTGGAGTCAAGGTGACACGGAGCAGTCGCAGTCAAACGACAGCTCACAGCCCCACGAGCAACACACCTAACAAAAGCGAATTAAACACGAAAACGTGCTAATAGCCGTCAATTCATAGTTAAACTTTAAAACAAAAAATTTAAATTCAATTTATAGAAAACTGTCATGGACATTATGACATAATGAAAAAAATGTAAGAGCAACTTAGAAAAATACTTATAGTATTTGTAGTAAAAGAAACTGACTTCACAGAGACTTTTCCTCATGATTCCTGGATTGAATCCCTGAATGACTATTCCAAGTAAGAGTCGACATTCTTTACAAACTGTTCTTCCTCACTAAGATACTCCAAGACAACATTCCCGCCGTTGTATAAGGGACAGTCCTCCCTGGCCATCCAGGCTTCCAGCGTGTGGTCCAAGGGCAACGCTTCTCCAGAAGTCATGTGACAGAGCCTTAACTTCTGTTGAGAGAGAAACGAAGCACAATGTAGCGTAACAAACATGCGTGTGTAGCACAGCCTAAACCCCTAGGCAGAGCTGTTACGACCCGCGGGTACCTTGGCTGTGGACTTGTTGTTGTCGTTTCTGAGACTGGCTAAAGAAGCTGCAAAGTCGATGACCTTCCCAACGCTCCAGCGCTGGCAGAAGAACATGGGTTTGCTCTTCTCTTTGCTCCCCTGGGGCAAGAAAACCTGCAAGTAGACTCTTTCCGTCTGTAGGAACAAAACAGTTACAATAGATTACATACATGAATGAGACATCTGTTTTTGTCACTTCCACTCTCCTCCTGGTCAGAGAGGGACTGCCCTCTGATGCTAAAACTGGTGGTGGGAGTACCAGTCAGAGTCGCCCAGCAGCCACCTGAATGCATGGGTACAGGGCCTGGCCAGGGTGACCTGTGCAAAGACGGGTTATGTGACCTCAGGTAAATCAACTAAGGTCTTCTCCGGCATTTTACACTCAAACGCCGGGGTGGAAAGGGCAGCTCTCTTTCTCCTGAGATTTTAGAGCTTATTGAATTAGACCTGGACTTGCCTACAACTATTGCCCAGGCCCCTCAGCCATTCCTGAACCAAGGTGGAAAAAGTCCCGTGGGATGGGAAAGAATGGGCCCAATACAGAGGGAAGTCAAGGACACAATGGGCTCTTTCTAATGCATCTGGGTCCTGGAACTCAGTCATCCTGGTGACCAGATCAATGCCACTCCCATCACAGGAGGGGAAAACTGTTTTCATTAGCTAGTTGGTATCAAGTTTCTGTTGTTCGCAAATGAAAGATCCCTGAAACATGAAACACATCTTCCTACTTGAAAGACAATGTTTTAGAGATAGCAGGGCTTTTGAGAATAAAGAAGCTAGAAAAAAAGAAAGAAAAAATAGACAAGTTTCATAGAAGATTTGATGGTCCCTCCAGGATTCTATACCCTATATGTTTCCTCATATTGTATTTTCATGCTAAGTTAATAAATGCAGAGGGAAAAAAGAGTAAAAGCAAAGGTGTTCCTTGATTCCTAAAAATTGCTTTAAAAAGAGTTGGCTTTACAGACCAATTCCTGTCACAATGAAATTGTTGGCATAAGAGGAGCATCTCTAAGTCACAGAGGAAAGATTACAATTATTTTAGGAAACATTAGATTCAAGACCATTCCCAGCACCAAAGAACTTAGATTTGTTGAAGACCAGTGGAGTGTGTTATTACAGATAACAAGAATTAAAAGAAAAAATAAGAAATCATTGGAAGTTCAAACTCTGGGCCAACTCTATAAAATCAAAGTAATCAGAGTATAAATATGAAAAGAGAATATTAAAAAAATATAGACTCACCTAAAAAAAGATAAATATGCTTGAAGATCACAAATGGAACAGAAATGCAGAAAGGTGAGTGGGCAGAGAGAGAGACCAGAAGGGAGTTCCTATTCAAGACCAACATGCACAATCTGTAAGCTGAAATTTCATAGCAAACCAAGATGAAAATAACTAAGTGTGAAAAAGACATTTAAAAATGAGACAAATTAAGGGATAATACCCATAAAAAAAGGAACAAGAAGTTATGAAACCAAAACAGGCAGAAATAAAATAAGAAGCTATAAATAGCTAATAAGAAATATAAACATAAAAAAACCCACAGTTTCTGAAATTAAAAGTTCAAACAGGATAAAATTTCTCTAACCTTCCATAATAAGGCTTACTTGATAGGGAGATGGAGTTGAGGAAGTCATCTAGAATGTAGCACAAGGAGACAGCAAGATAGAAACTATATGTCTCCAAATAGGCCTGAAACTAACAAGAGTTTCAGAAGAGAAGAGATGATGGAGGAGCAATAGTCAGAGAAAAATGACATAATCTTCTAAAAGTGAAGATATAAGTTAAAATTTTAAATGTATCTCAAGGGCCAAGATGGGCAATTAAAATAAATCAATGCCCAGAAACATTGCACTGAAATTGAAAAATACCACAGGTAAAGTCTTAAAAGCCACTAAAAAGACAGTTACCCATTTAGCAATGAAAATCAAGAGACAGCACATATTTCCCCTATAACAGATCACAGAAGCCACTGCACGTACATAGATCCAAGGAAGTGAGAGTCTAATAGACAAGCAGCTCGAGCGAAGGTAAAATAGAGCACTCTCAGACAAGAAAGACTAAAAGAGTTTACCTGCAGAGACTCTGAATGAATCACTAAAGAATGGAATTCAGAAAAATAAATGTAAGTCCTAAGGAAAGAAGAAACTAAAAAAAATTTGTAGATTTACATAGGTATTGATGACAATAATCTTTATGTGTGAACAAAGATGATGGATGGGAGATATTCGAGTGGATAGGCATGTCAAGCTCCTTGTGCTATTTGAGAGGATGTAATACCAAGTAACTTTAAAGAGGAAAATTGGTTTTTACTTTTTTTTTTTTTGTAATATTTTATTGATTTTTACAGAGAGGAAGGAAGAGGGGTAGAGAGTTAGAAACATCACTGAGAGAGAAACATCGATCAGCTGCCTCCTGCACACCCGCTACTGGGGATGTGCCCGCAACCAAGGTATATGCCCTTGACTGGAATTGAACCCGGGACCCTTCAGTCCGCAGGCCGATGCTCTATCCACTGAGCCAAACCGGTTAGGGCGGTTTTTACTTTTATACATAAAAAATAAAAATATAAACACAAGCCTGTTATCACCATTACTATAATACATTATATTGGAGATTCTAGATCAGTGGTTCTCAATCTTCTGGCCCTTTAAATACAGTTCCTCATGTTGTGACGCAACCATAAAATCATTTTCGTTGCTACTTCATCACTGTAATGTTGCTACTGTTATGAATCGTAATGTAAATATCTGATATGCAGGATGGTCTTAGGGGACCCCTGTGAAAGGGTCGTTCAACCGCCAAAGGGGTCGCAACCCACAGGTTGAGAGCTGCTGTTCTAGATAATGTAGAATAAGAAAATGAAATAACTAATACAATTACCTATATATATAAAGCCTAAGCAATCATTACGACAGGTCGCTGTGACACACACTGACCACCAGGGGACAGACGCTCAACGCAGGAGCTGCACCCTGGTGGTCAGTGCGCTCCCACAGCCAACCTCCCGCAGTCCCTCCCCCCAGCCAGCTGGCCCCGATTGAGACTGGGCGAGATGGCCCCAATGGCCCCGACTGCCGGCCAGGCCAAGGGACCCCACCAGTGCATGAATTCGTGTACCAGGCCTCTAGTTATAAAATAAAAGCTATCCTGCTAATGGGGTGTGACTGCATATCTAGGAAATCAAAGGCACTAATGGTAAAAAAGAAACTTCTAAAATTAATCATAAGAGTTTGATGATGTGGCTGAATCAGATGAATATACAGAAATCAAGACTCTTTTCTCTATATTAGCAGTAAGTACCTGAAAATAGAGGTGGACACAAATATTTTGTTCACAACAGAAATAAACCCCAAAAATAATTGGAAATGAAAATAAATAAGGAATGAGACTTAAATGAAGACAAGCATGTTACACAAGACAAGAAATATGATCTGAATAACTGGAAGGACACATAAGGCTCCTGGATAGGAAGGCCATGTAATAAAAACATTATTTCTCTCAAAACTGGTAAATAACATGTAATGCAAATCCAGTATGAATCCTAAAGAAGCTTGATTTTTTCCTTTACACATTTCTTAATAGTTACTCTTGCTAAAAGTGTGTACTACCTTTGCAAATTTAAAAACATTAAAGAAAGATTTTTAAAAAGAAAAATACTAAGGATAATCACTAAAAGAAGAATACAATCAATGGTTTCTAAAAGAGTAGACTACAAGAAAACATAGAAAATCCAATCAATACAAAAGAAGACAGGAAAGAGAAATAAGGATGATGAGCAAAAATCATAAGATGGAAGAAATACATTCAAATGTATCAGTGATCACAATATATATAAATGGATTCAACTCACCTATAAAAGAGGAATACTATCAAACTGGATTAAAAAAACAAAGTCCAGCTATATGCTGCTTACAAGAGACACCCTAAAACAAAACAATACAGAAAAGTTGAACATAACATGATGAAAAAAGACATAATAGTTAAATCTTAACCAAAAGAAAACTAGTGAAACAATCTATATATACTAGTGGTCCGGTGCACAAAAATTTGTGCACTCGGGGGGGTGGGGATCCCTCAGCCCGGCCTGCGCCGCGCCCATTCACAGTCCAGGACCCCTTGGGGGATGTCCACCTGTCGACTTAGGCCCACTTCCCGGGGGATCAGGCCTAAGCTTGCAGTCAGACATCCTTCTGGCAGCCAGGGAGCCCTCGGCAGATGTCCGACTAAAGGCTTAGGCCCCCAAGGCATCAGGTCTAAACCGTTAGTTGGACATTCTTAGTGCTGCCACAGAGGTGGGAGAGGCTCCTGCCACCACCTCTGCGCCGACCAGCCATGAGCCAGCTTCTGGCTGAGTGGCATTCCCCATATGGAAGTGCACTGACCACCAGGAGGCAGCTCCTGCATTGAGCGTTTGCCCCCTGGTGGCCAGTGAGCATCATAGCAACCGGTCATTCTGCCGTTCAATGTGCATATTAGCCTTTTATTATTATTATATAGGATGTCCCTATTTCCCCCCCTTTTTCCCCTCTACCCAGCTCTTGCCCCCCACTTCTCTCTGGCCATCACCATACTGTTGTCTGTGTCCATGGGTTGTGCATATATTTTCTTTGGCTAATCCCTTCTTTAAATTCACTTCTTTAAATGTTTATTTTCAGATAAGTGCTTATAACTGCACTATTATATATTTTCTATTATATCATTTAGAATTAAGATATTTTTTAATTGAACCCTTGTAAATTTTAGCACAATTTAATAAATTATGGTAGAAGCAATTAGGAGATTTTTCATGTAATGCATACACATTTCAATTAATATTTTATTAATTTTTAATTTTTTAATATTTTAACTTGAAATAATCTCATACATGTAAAAAAAACTATAAAATACTACAGCATATTATATGTACCCTTCACCCAATTTCTTAGGTGCTAATAATTTAAACATAACCATTATACAACTAACAAAATTTGGAACATATTTTTCTTATAATCTCTTTAATGTTACTTAATCCATTTACTTTGTTTTTGTTAATCTTCACCCAAGGATATTTTTCCATTGAATTTTAGAGAGAGTGAAGGGAAAGGGAAAGACACATTGATTGGTTGCCTCCTGCACATGCTTTGATAGGGAATGGGGATCAAGCCAGCAACTGAGGTACATGCCCTTGACTGGAATCAAACCTGGGACCCTTCAGTCCATGGGCTAATGCTCTATCCACTGAGCAAAACAGGCTGCAGCTTAATTCATTTACTTTTCATCTATATGTGTCTTTATATTTAAAATGGGTTTTGTTTTTGATTCACCCTCATAATCTTTCTTTTAATTGGTGCATTTATGCCACTGACTTTCAAAGTGCTTACTGATAGAGTTACTACCATATCAGGCGGCTTCTGGGTCTTCTGGGGCTGGCCTGCCTTGCCGCCCGGGACCCGCCGATCGGGTCCCCGGCGGCAAGGCAGGCCGGCTGCTGGGGCTTCTGGGGTGGGCCTGCCCTGATGGTGGCGCGCTGGCGGCTAGCGCTGTCCCGCCCTGCCTACAGTATGCAAATTAGCCGCCATCTTTGTTGGTGGCTAATTTGCATATCATGCTGATTAGCCGATGGGAGGCGTGGCGAAGGTACGGTCAATTACCATGTTTGTCTATTATTAGATAGGATAAAACCCTAATATGCAAATAGACCAAACAGTGGAACAACTGAACAACCGGTCGCTATGATGTGCACTGACCACCAGGGGGCACATGTGGAACATGGCGGGCGTTGGCAGCAGGTGGGAGAGCGCGGAACATGGCAGGCATTGGCCGCGGAAGGATGGTGGAGCAGGTGAGTGGGGGCGCCAGACCAAGGCGGGGCACCAGTTGCTGTCATCGGGGCGAGCCTCTGGTGGTTACTGAAAATTCTTTGCTCCCGTGCACTGTGGTCCTGCCGGGAGCTCACACCTGCTGCTGGCACCAGCCCCACTCGCACCCACTGACGGCACCGGCCCCACTCGCACCTGCAGCTGGCGGCGGAGCCTCCGCTCACACCTGCTGCTGGCACCCAGCGCCGGTCCTGATCACTCGGCGCTGTCAGTGGGTGCAAGCGGTGGCTGTTAGCCCTGATCGCCCGTGAGGGCTTCTCCACCTCCCCCTGCTCCTGAGGGGCGATTGGGGCAGCAGCCGCCGCTCGCACCCGCTGATGGCACTGGCCCCAATTGCTCTGTGCCATCAGCGGATGGGAGTGGCGGGGCTTCCGGCAGACAGGGGACCGTGGGCCGTGGTGGGAGGGGCCAGGCGGGGGCGCGGAGGATGGGTCGAGACCCGCCCCTGTGCCCACCACAGCCTCGCATCCCACAGTTCCTTTCAAGGTGCACGAATTTGTGCACTGGGCCCTTAGTACTATTATAATTCAAAATAGCATTAAAGGCAAAATTCATAAAGGAGATATAATAATGGAGAATTCCACACATCTGATAATATGCAACTCAGCAAAACCATTAGAATTACAAGAAAAACCCTGACAAAACCACAGCTCCAGGAGATTTTAACATACCTGTCTCAGAAACTAATACATAAGCAAACTAAAAATTAGTATGCACACACATACAAACACAGGTACACATGTGTAGACATATGTACAAAGAAAGAGACTGCAAATGATAAAGCAAGTAAGGGCAAAATGTAATTAACTGGTATATTTGTGTAAAAAATATGGAAAATCTCTTTGTACTATCCTTGCTACTATTTTGTGTTTGCAACTATATCAAATTAAAGTTACCTGAAAAACACACCCAAACAAGTAGGTTGAAAACAGATAAGTTCACCATTGAATGAGAAAAGATGAAAAAAGAACATCAAAAAAAATATGAACGAAGAAAAAAGGACACCCAGAGTTTGGTGAAAAAGAAAGCAAAGCAACAATACAGAGGACAATAAAACCAAAATATGGTTCTTTGAAAAGACTAAAATAGAAATAAGTAAAATAAACACAAACATCTAGGAAGACTGGCCAAGGAGAAAACAAAGAGAGATGCAAATGAAAAAATATTAAGAATGAAATGGAATGACTAAAGACACGGTAGAGATTCTGGAATTCTCTTATTTAAGAGAATAAGTTGAACAACTTTATAATAATAAACAGGAGAATCTACACCAGGAATTTTAAGAAAAATATTATTTACCAACATTTATTTCAGAAGCAACAGATTATCCAAATAAACCAAGAACTATTTAACATTTTGAAATCATGTTAGATATTCTCCGCTTTTTCAAAAAGGCTATAACAACCATTACCAAAGCTTCAACAACAAAGAATCCCACCTTCTACAACTATTTCAAAGAATAGAAGAGGGAAACCTACTCAACTAATTTTATAAGTATAATCTGGCTACTAATGGCACAAAATACTGCTAGTAACATATTAGAAAATCAATGTAATAGTGCATTTTAAAAGAATTATATACCAAAGTCAAGTGGCTTATCCCAGAAAATGTGGGTGATTCAACAACAGAAAATCAATCAACATAATTTATCACACTGATAAGGAAAAACAATAACAAAAAAATACATCAACATGATCATCTTATTAGATGTAGGGGAAAAACCCACAGAAAAATTTAATAAGTATTCATGACATAAATTTCTAGTAAGCTAGGAATAGAAAGAAATATTGTTAACCTGATAAAGGCAACTATGAACAACCTACAATAAAGATAATATTTACTCATGTGGATTAAAGTCAGAACTGTGATGAAGATGCCTGCTGTCACCTATATTATTCAGTCCTGTTCAGTAGAGATCAACCCATGCATTAAGACAAATAATGATGAAAAGCAGGAGTAAGAGGAAAGAAAATTTGAGGAAAAGAAACACCAAAACACAAAACTGTCATTTGCAGAAAATATAACTGCGTGAAAACATCCCAGAAAGCCTATAAACCATGGGAACAATGAGAGGTTTCTTTGCAGGACAGAAGGACAACAAACAACAACCAGCATAACCAATTAAGGAAGCGTTAAGTTTTTTAAAAGTTATTATTTACAATGGCAGCAAAAATTATGAAGAACCTAAGAATATAATTAAGAAAAGACATATAGATATGAATGGTAAGCATTACAGATGTTATTTAAAGACAGAAAAGAAGACCTAAAGAAAAATTGGAACAATAGACCACAAACATGGATGGGATGAGAAGAGTCAAAATTCTAAAGAGGTAAACCGTTCTAATAGAAAATTCAGTATAATTCCTATCAAGCACAATTTCATAGAACAGGACAAAGTGATCCTACAATTTTTACAAAAGAATAAAGAGCCAAGAATAGACACAGCTGAAAGCAAAAAGTAAGGTGGAGAAACGTGTCCTACTTCTTACACAGCTATGATAATAAGCCAGTTTAATACTGATGCAAAGATGGACAGTCCCAAACTAGTCCCATGTGTACTATATGGTAGGTGACTGAGGTGTAGTTACAAGGATGAACTCTCAGTACCTTATGTTATGACCATAGGTAATCCATTCAGATATGTGTATGTGTGTAAATCTTTACTTCTACTTATAATTAAATGGAATAAAGAGCTACACAAAATAAGCAAATAAAATAAAGCTTTTAAAGGAAAATGTAAGAAAATATCTTAAACAATTTATTTTGAAAAGTACAAATCTTAGAGAAATCACTAATAAATTTGAACATATTAAAATTTTAAAAGTCTGGACCACTCATAAAAAACAAAGAGAAGACAAACCACAAATTGAGAGAGGAAATGTGCAACACATGTAGTAAAAAAACGCAGAACATCTAGAGCAACGGATCTCAACCTGTGGGTCGCGACCCCTTTGGGGGTCGAACGACCCTTTCAGAGGAGTCACCATCGGAAAACACATATATAATTACATTACGATTCATAACAGTAGCAAAATTACAGTTATGAAGTAGCAACGAAAATAATTTTATGGTTGGGGGTCACCACAACATGAGGAACTGTATTAAAGGGTCGCGGCATTAGGAAGGTTGAGAACCACTGATCTAGAGTAAAAAAAAGTGCAACAACCCAACAGAAAAAGTAGGCAAAGGATATGAACAAATAATTCACAGAAGAAAGTCAATAGCCAATAAACTCATGCAAAATAACTGAACCTTAATTGTCAAAAGGGAAATTTAACTTTAAACCTCAGTGAGACATAACTTCATATCTATCAGTTTGGTAACAATGAATAACACCCAGTGTTGGCAAGAAACCCTGAAACCCTCGACGGGTAGAAGAAAAATTAGCACAACCACTGAGCACAAAGTTGACAGCATCCAGGAAACCTGAGGATATGCAAAGCCCAGGACCCAGCTTTTCTATTTCTCCATATCTTCCCTATGGGAGCATTTTTCAATCTGAGGGCCTCAATCCTTCAGGGGTTATAAAATCAATACTCTTTAAAACAAAATAGAATTAGAAAATACCAGTGTAAGGTTAGGTGAAACTGTGTTAAGGTATGTATGCATGTATGTATGTATGTACTGGGTTGCTGTATAAAATGCAATTGACATTATGGCTTTTTAAAGGAACTGCCCTAGTGAGACATTCCAATATACACACGAGGACAGTCACTGTTGAACAGTTTATAACAGCAAAAAAACTTGGAAAAATTCTGAATATTGTTCATCACGAGAATGAATAAATGTGGTATATTCATATTATAGGATATGCAGTTATCACAATGAACAAACTAGACTAAATGTGTCAACATGGATAAATGCTAAAAACATGATGCCAAGTGAGAAAAAAAAAGAGCTGAGGAAGGATATGTATGACTCCCTGCCATTTCTATAAAGTGAAAATCTCACAAAACAATGTACCATTTTTTATGTATCTACACACCTGTAACACTAGGAAAGATACACATCAGGTTCAGGTTAGTTGTTACTAGATGGGAGGGAGGAGTAGAGAGGGGCTTCAACCACATGTAAACATTTTGTTTTTCAAAGTCTCCAAGACCAACCTGGGGCAGTGACTTATCCCCATCAGCATGCATCTTTAATTTCATCAGTGCTACCTTGGCAGCTGTTGCGCTATTTTTTGCACCCTTCCGTCGCTTATTCGCTGTCTCTCCTGTCTTGGAATCTAAGAAATAAAAATAAGCATATAAACACATAATGTTTACATTATATTTTCTAGACTTTTATTAATTACTAGGGGCCCAGTGCACGAATTTGTGCACCTTGAAAGGAACTGTGGATTGCAAGGCTGCTGCGGGCACAGGGGCGGGTCTCGGCCCATCCTCCGTGATTTTTTATGGCTCTGAAACATACAAAAACTATACACAACGGAGCTCTACAGAGGCAACATATTGTGTAGGTATATTTAAAATATTGACAATCTCCACATCAAAACCCTTAGTATGGTGCTTCTTTCTAACTTAAGCTGATTTATTCTAATCACTAACACTTCCACAGAGAACTTTAAGATTTGGTTATAGAAGATTTTATTAAAGGTAGCGTCCTTACAAAGAATGAAAATTCTGCTGAACTAACATGTTGGCAGAGACTGGTCTAGTTTATAGATATACTAGAGGCCCAATGCACGAATTTCATGCACAAGTAGGCCTTCCTTCTCCAGGCTGCCGGCACCAGCTTCCCTCTGGCCACTGACAGGCACCCGGGACCCGGGCTTCCCTTGTAGACCCGACTTCATCCGGAAGGTCGACCGGAAGGACGTCCGGTCTAATTAGTATATTACGCTTTTATTATTATAGATTCTTTCCTGGTATCTCAGATTGTAACAGCATTCTTAGGACAGCAGACTAGGCTTAATGTTTAGTCTTTAGAGACTACAAACCACTACTTTAGCTCCGTGAAACTATTTCTAGCTGTGATGGTTAACCAGCTGATCTGAGTGGCCGAGCAGGAAAACATCTGGCTTTGTGAGAAATACTGTTGCAAGAGTATCATCAAAATAGATTGCAAGTTTCAGCCCACCGGGGCTGTTAACAATGCCTTCCATACTGAGAAGCAGACATAAGCAGCAGGAGCTTTGGAACTAATAGGCAGACAGCAACACAGAAAGCAATGAAACCAGTTTCCTTGGTACTTGCCAATAATGTCTCTAACAAGTTTCTGAGTGGCAGCCATGCGAGGCTTAGGGAGTTCCAGTTTTTCACATTCATGATCTGACTGGTGACGGTGTCTGTGAGCAACAGAAGAGTGACACCAGTTCAAGTATCTGTATACAAGTTAAACAGATACACAGAGTGTGGGGGATCTGAGTGATCACCTCAGGCAAAAGTTCTTCTCACAGTGAGGACAGGTCACTGGTACAAGCTCTTTCTCAGCACAGCCCTTGAACGCACATGGGTAAGACGCATGTGTATCTGACTTCAGCCTCTCCTTGACTACAGTCACCTGAAAATGTAAAAAGGAGAAATTGGTGTATTTCACATGGAGAATAAGTCAACAAATCTATTTTGAAAGGCAGCATTCATTTTACTGCTGCTTAAACTTATAAGAGCTACTTCGATGCTCCCACAAAACAGATTATAGTAAATATTTGTGTGAGAAATGATTATTGTGTTGACTGTTCTACATTTTCATAATCTTCCTACTGTGGTATATTTATCTTCTAAATCAAGTTACCGTGACTATTGAGTTACTCTTTACAATTTTAGTCTTCTACTTTGTAAACGGTCCAACACAAAGATGGCCCCATACTAACATGCTCAGGTAGTCATCTCAACATCAGTCCTCAATGGCAAGTCTACCAATTTTCTACACCAATTTTAAGTAGTTAAGTATATATAAATGAACACTTAAAATTATGTTTATCCATGATACAGAGGGTTAAAGATAGTTTTCCTAATGATATACTGTTCATGATGGTGTGTTTAGTATTGTATTTCCAGCAAATATTACATCAGAAAAAGATGAGATTTTATAAGATTAAAAAAAAATCCAGATCAACCAGGCTCTTTTGACTACAGGTTTCTCCCACTATCCGAAAGTAGCTGAGCATTCCTACCTATGAAACTTTTCATAAACCGAAATGGCGCAATGACCATTAATTTACATGGAAAATTTTTTCCCTCTTCCCAGACCCCAAAATGGGTCTCCCAGATGCTCAGACACAGTTCAAAGCTAGGGAGCCCTAATGCCGAGATGCTGAGCATGATTCCGGGGGAAGGAGCTTGCCGGGCCGCTCTCACAGCTCGGGGTGCGCTGCCTGTGTAGTGAATGGCTCACTGCAAAACAAGTGTTAAATGCTATTTTCCCTTCTCCCCTTTTTTTGTAAAAGTGAACATCCTTTTTGGGTTTCTTTAGGTTAGCACAAACAGGTACTAATGTGGGTCTTTCATAAAAGTGAAGGGGCTTAAAGTGAACTTTCGAAAATGGGGGAGGGGGGAGTATTAAGTAACTACGTTTCTAGAGTTGAATGAATTTAGAGAAATAATTGCTTGAAATCCACAATCAAAGACACTCCTCCATATAAATGATAGTTGCAACTTGTTGGAATTGACTTAACTATTTTTCCAAACTTGTTCCCACAGTCTCAAGGTAAGTGATTTTTCTTCACTATTTAATGGAGATCCAATTGAGAGACATTCTGTGAGAGACATCAAAAGAAAATCAAGTGGTATCATAAGAAAAAGGAAAGCACGGGGCAGATTTACAAGTTGCATAAGAAACATCAGCATGTTTCTGTGACTCTAAATGAGATTTTCCTCCCAGTTAACCCTGCGCAATACCAATAAGTTCACTCATTTTTAGTTCCCTCAAATAAATCACCTAAACTTCGCAGGGCCAGACTTTGAAGCCATTTAACCTGAATTTTCTGAAACTGACAGAACAGATGTAAAATCCTTGTGCTTGGGAATAAGTGTCCCCTGCAAAGTGTGAGGCAAACGCTTCCTTCCAAATGGAGAGAATCCAGTTTAACTTCCCGCCTCTCCTGACCCGAGGGAGGCAGGGCCACTTGTCTGCCTGTCAAATGTGAGACAGTGGGCTCAGCTTTCTCTTTTTCTTCTTGGAACTGAACCTGGGAGTCAAGGAGGAGGCCTGGCGGGGTCCAGCACTGCTGGGACGGGCAGGCAGTGTGCCCAGTCCTGGCGTTCTCTGCAGACCTACTGGGCTCTCCTCACTGAGGCTTACCATCATCCTCCTTATCCTTTATCAGTAACACAGATGACATTTTGGTTTCTGTCTGCCAGCCGCTTTTTAAGCTCTCCATGTGGTCAGAATTAGAATGGGACTTTGTGCGACCACAGGTTTGTTCCGGGTGGTCTAAGGCTGACTGAGTCAGAACAATAGATTGTCACCAAATCCTAACACCAGGCACCATGCAAACAAACAAGTGGAGGAAACTGGCAGGGGTGCATGAGGGCGGCAATTCCGTTTCAGATCTGCAAACAGGGAGCCTAAGCTGCAAGCGGCCACCCAAACAGAACTGGAGTGTAAAGAACTAAGAATTATGAGACTAAAAAAGTAAAAATACCAAGTAGACCAATTTTTTAAAAAACAAACTGAGAAAAATAATATAAATAAAGCAAAAACAATAATTTGCATAATTAGCTTAGTATGCCAAATTTTAATCTGCTGTACACTGGTTGGTTTGAAACCTCTTCAAAATTGGAAGAAAGCCCAGCTGGCGTGGCTCAGTGGTTGAGTGTTGATCTATGAACCAGGAGATCACAGTTCAATTCCCCGGTCAGGGCACATGCCAGGGTTGAGGGCTCGATCCCCAGTAGGGGACATGCAGGAGGCAGCCAATCAACGATTCTCTCTCATCATTGATGTTTCTATCTCTCTCTCCCTTTCCCATCCCCTCTGAAATCAATAAAAATACGTTTTTAAAAATTGGAAGGAAAGTACATAAATACAAATGTGAGTTATTAGAGAGGAGAACTATTAACATACCTCAGGACAGCTGTGCGACTCTCTGCTTCTGTGCTCAAGGCTTAAATAATTAAAAAAAATAGTGTTTATTTAAATGCAATCAAATAATGTAAGGATAACATAATCTGAGATATTTCAGTTGTTAGCATCCTTAAGATTAATTACATTTATGCTACATTAAGAACTCTACAAATAAGGATAAGCTGAAATACCTTATCATATAAAAATAGAGCATCTATTGCCTCAAACACAACTGTTCAACTTCCATATGAGAAAAAAAAATTCACCACTCTAAATTACCTCCTTTACTCTGAGTGCTTTCAGGTGTGTGAAAAGACCAAAACATGGGGGGGGGGGGAGCCGGTGTCAGGGGAAAGGGGAGTCTGTCGCTGCTAGGGCCGGGGCCCCAGGCTCAGGCAGCCCTGGAGGCTGGCAGTGGCAGCAGCCAGCTGCGTGACAAGGGGCATCGCCTTTCTCCGTGATCAGCCAGTTGCCTCGTGCAGAGGAAGACCAGAGCAGCAGCAGCAGGGGGTGATGGGGCAGTGCCTTTCCTGAT